TCTGCAGTCAATCGTCGACATATGCTCACCAAAGGATTTGACGATTTTAATGGGAGACCTAAATGTCAAGGTCGGCATGGACAACACTGGATATGAAGACATCATGGGACGACATGGACCGGGAGAAAGTAACGAAAACGGTGAGAGATTTGCAAACCTATGTGCCTTCAACAAACTGGTCATCGGTGGCACAATATTCCCACACAAACGCATACACAAAGCTACATGGATTTCACCGGATCCCACTACTCAAAACCAAATCGACCATATCTGTATCAATAAAGAGTTCAGAAGAACCATGGAGGATGTGAGAACCAAGAGAGGAGCTGGCATAGTCTCAGATCACCACTTGCTGGTCGCTAAAATGAAACTGAAACCAAAGAAGCAGTGGACAACGGTACAGACAACATCACAGAAGTTTATTACAGCCTTTCTTCGGGAACTCTACGAATTCAAGATAGCCCTCACCAATAAGTTCCAGGCCTTGCACGATATATTCAATGGAGAGGCAGCAACCTTAGGGAACGATTGGAAAGGGATCAAGGAGGCAATCACTTCAACATGTCAGAAGGTTCTGGGTCACAATAAGTACCATCACAAGGAATGGATCACTGTTGGTACTCTTGCAAAAATTGAAGAAAGGAGGAACAAGAATGCAGCAGTGAATGTCAGCCGAACAAGAGCACAGAAAGTTGCCGCACAAGCTGAATACACAAGAAAACAGGAAAATGGAGAAGAGCATCAGAGCTGACAAACGAAAATATGTGGAGGATCTAGCAATGACGGCGGAAAAGGCTGCAAGAGACGGAAACATGGTACAATTGTACGAAACAACAAAGAAGCTCGCCGGAAAATACCGTAAACCAGAACGACCAGTGAAAAGCAAGGAAGGGAAAGTAATCAGCAGCAGCATCTACGGACCTTCCAATCGATTTTGGCGCAACTACAGTTGAAGAGATCAGAATGGCCATTAGTCAATTCAAGAGCGGCAAAGCCTCAGGACCAAACAACATTCCAGCAGAGGCAATGAAAGCAGACGTGGAAGAAACTGAAAAAACTTCAACAAGATTTGGGATGATGAAGATGTACCATCAGACTGGAAATAATGATGCTTGATCAAAATACCAAGCAAAGTCGATCTCAACAAGTGTGAGAATGACAAAGGCATCACTCTTCTTTCAATACCAGGAAAAGTCTTCAACTGGGTATTGTTAAACAGAATGAAGGACTTCGTAGACGTCCAACTTTGAGATCAACAGTCTGGATTTCATAAGGATCGATCGTGTACTGACCAAA